GGAAAATTCCAGTATATGCAGACATATCTGTATCAATCATGCTACTCACCCAAAAAAAAAAAAAAAAGCCATGCTGTCGAGTTTTCTGGTTTTTAACCCCTATTCCTCGTCAGTTCTTGAATTTGCTCAATGGTCTAATTGCAAGTTGTAGTTGTTCTCTTGCTCGACCGTGAGGTCCCTGGACAAGTAAAAATCCAAAAGCATATATACAATTAAGCAGATCCTACAACGACGGGGACCATTCCGTAATTATCTTCTTGAAAGGATAATACCATATATCTGAATGCTAGGAATCAAAAAAGGTCCCCGGCTACAATTAAAAAGAAAAAGAAAAAGCTTTCTAGAAGTTCATGATATTCAATGTCTTTTAGAATGTTGCATCAAATCAAAGAAAGGTAGCTAGGAATAGTGATGATTTCCTGCCATTAGATAAAGGCATGTAGACCAAACGAGTCAGTGGATTAGATGCTATTTCTCTGAGTTTCTCGCTTATGTTACCCGCACTTGTCAGTCATCCAGGAAATTTGCAACCTATGGATGCATGTATTTGGGCGTACGTAGCGGTGGTTGGCCAGTCCATCTCATATTTCTTTCAGCATATTCATTTCATCCTTAAAACTCCAGATGCATTGCCCTCAACTGTAGCACTGAACTAACGATGAAGGACCCCTGGAACATCCAACCCCAAAAGCTAACAGCATCGAGCCCTACGTACAGCTGAATGCACGTTCTCAACAAACCTGACAGCTCCATGCAGGCTGATCTTCCCGTTCAGCTAGAGTTGGCTTTGGATGGAAGCCCTAAATTTCATTGCTTTGAAGCAATTTTTGCAGAACCCCAAGTAAAATGGGGAATGGTTTGCTGCCTTTCGTGGACTAGTATGATTTTAACTTGGAATGGAAGATAAAGTTTCTGCCAGTCCCACTCCACACCCCCCACCAGCTGTTGCTGCTTGCTCGTGACCAATAATTTTTGGATCATACATTAATTTTTAGCTTTTTTGTGGGCACAATAGGTTGGTCCCATTTTCAAATGCAATGAGAAGCTGCCATCCAAAATCTGATTTCAGAGAGTTATACTCGATTAATTATCAGTCTTTATTCCAAAAGTTAGGAGAGCATTACACTAATGACTGATTAACTAATAAGGTTGAGCAAACATTGATGTGTGTGCACGAAACTTTGAATTGCGTGATGGTAATTTTAGCTGCTAGTCTTTTCAACACTATTAATTGGAGATTTTTTTTTTCTGCACAATGATTATTAATATTGGAGATCAATTCTTTCAAAGTTTGTTTGGCCATAAATGAATTAAATCGTAATCAATTTGGAACTTGAAACCCATAATCGTATCAATCAGAGATCTTCTATCTCAATCATAAAAATTCTGAAGTTTATCCATATTCCTTATAAAAGTAGGTTTAGTCTAAGTAAATTAGAGTCTAAGCAGAGTTCCTATCTTAGTTTCCTCTTATGCCTATAATACCCTCCTCTCTTGTAATTAAATTTATTGCATTCTAATAATACTCAATAATTGTAGGAGTTATGAAAAAAAAGCTATAATCTTAATCGAATATGAATTATGATGACAACGAAAGCAATACAACACTCCACTCTAAATTTGTCCCTCTACATAATCTCTAACTTCTATTTTAATCTAAAATTCTTTGTTAGTCACAGTCCAACATAATTTTAAAATTGTCAAAAATTATTGCTATTGATACCAACACAAGATGCTCTCATGACAAAGAAGTCCTTGTCATTTGTACTATTTGTTAGATTGTGCCAAAAAAAGTAAAAAAAAAATCTAATTATCTCTACCAACGAAATTTCAACTGTCAAAAATGAATAATGAGACAAAAAAAAAATTATATGTGATGGATAATTTGCAAACAAAAATTCTTTTTTTTTTTTTTTTTTGGAGACGAATCGTAATTGAGGAGGGATCCTCTATTCATCTCCTACCCAGTCCCAATAAATCAATGACTAAACAAATAACTTCCACCAATGTGGTTTCTGGACAAAGAAGTCGCAAATGTTGTTTTCTGGCTTATGATTTAGTGATGCACCGTAACAGGAAAAAACACCGTACAAGGACGAGTACCATGCACGTCAGTGCAAAAATGGCCCCATGTTGTCATATAATTTGATGGAAATTTCAGCACCAGCTTCATCTCAGATGACATTCACACAACTGGACAAGCACACTAGACATCAACAGAAAATGTTACTTGAACTATATAAGACGAATGCACTGGAAAAACCCATATCGTTTGCACCTTACTGTACGAAGGAAAAGATGGGAAAGTAAGATTCTAGAAACTCTACGTCATGTGTTCTGAAAACTTCGCAACCCAAGAATCTGCAAACTTGACCTTCTCCACGGGTTTACTTAATTTGGACAGCTTAAGAGAAAAAACAAACAATATTGTCTTCTGCAACCCCTTCCCTTCCCAAATGAACCAATTTTTAGCATACATATTTATTGGATGTTATCCAAGCACTGTTCTCTTACAACCCATCTCCGAACTAGAAGGCAATAATGGCATTCTGCACGAAGGGAGCATAACATATCATTGCATCATTATTATACAGAACGCGCCTTTTTCGAACGGAAATGGGGGGGCCACACACGATATTATCCACGGAGTGCTAAGACATGAGGATTGAAACCATCAAATAAGTTGTAGGGCTCCCATGTTGATTCCTCGGTTGCATGCAGTTGCACAGTCATAAACAGCAGAGGCCTTTGCCGATGATACATAAACCTTTGTCCCAATAACAGCATACGCCAACTCGCTGAAGAATTTGCTGTGTCTCTCGAGGATAGGAGGGGCCAGTAGAGGAGACCACTGCCTGGTACTGAGGATCATACCGAGTAGGGGGGCCAGCAAGAACATACAAAATGCCTCCAATTTCTACTGCAATGGGACAAGACTTTCCAGAAATCATTTCCTTTTCCGGTGAAGGAGCATCAGAAGATGGAGCAAGAGAGAGGTTGTTTGGGAATTGACCGTGAGGGACACGGAGGAATTGGGGGCTCATATCAGCCCAACTATATTTGCTTAGTACTCCTCCTGAGCATCGGCGGAAGCTGGTTATCGCAGTTGGGACACAATACGGAGTAGTAGGTGTCTTAGAATGTGGCACAGATAATTCCGAGCAGATTTCACATATGCAAGGGACGCTTTTCAGTGACTCGTGTTTTGACCCGTGAAAGAAGAGGGGTAAAAGCATGTCAAGGTGATTGAAATAATTTATACGAAAACCAGTCTGAGACCAATAAGATTCAAGATTTGACGTTCATTAACCGCCATATATGATTGTGGAAGGATGTAAAAGAAGCAATCAACACGTGCTTAAGGAAGGCATTCAAATAATAAGGTGTCAAAGTTCTAGCAAATCAGCTGATTATTTGATTTACGGGGCATGAGCCTTATCCATATGACCTTTCGAGTTGGCTTCAAATCCGCGGTGGCATTCTCTTCGGTCACATTGCCACGTGGGCATTACGCGCCTCGCCTCAATAAATATATGTAAATAGCAAAGAATGGTACTGCTACAGATCCTTTTTCTTTTTCCAACCTAATTGCCTTTTATTCGATACATTCATTGAGCTTCTAGCAAGTTTTTAGCAGCATCCGGGTCCCTTTAATGATTCCTAGCAGTCAACGTAGCATCATATATATTTTTTGCCATTAAAACATTCAAAAAAAAAAAATGACAATGTCAGACAGAATAATTAGTTCTCTACATGCACATCCCACGGAGCAAATCGCCTCCCCTGCCCACTACGACGAGCAGTTTCCGCCCATGCTCAAGAGGAGCACTGCTAAGCAGCACCTTCGCTGGATTCCCAAAAAGCATCTCTTTGTTTGCTCCAGCTTCAGTTGGTCTTTCTTTCACCTCAAAAGGAAATGATTTCTGGCAAGTCTTGTCCCCTTGCTGTAGTGATTGAAAGGCATTTTGTACGTTCTTGCTGCCCCCCACCCCCCCCCCCACTCCAATCATGTGCCTGATGCAAGCTTTGAGCGGTATGATCCTCGTACCAAACAGTGGTCTCCTCTGAGATCCTTGATCCATGGATCAAGTTCTTCACCAGTTGGCTTCTGTTGTTGTTGGGGAAAAGCTTTGCGCATCAACCACAGAGGCTTCTTTTGAGTATGACTGTGCAACAGAGGGATCAAAATGGGAGCCTGAAAGTTATTTGACGGTTTCAGCGCTCCGTGGAAAGACAATGAAGTCATTCCTGATAGTTTGAAACCCTCTCCCCCCTCCCAGTTGTCAAACGCGCCGTTCTATGTGATGATGATACACTGATGCGCTATGCGCCTCCCTACAATTTCTCATCGTTGCCTTGCCTTCCAAATCAAAGATGGGAAAGTTGTAAGACAGCAGCAGTTCTTGGACAACATCCCTGACCATGTATGCAATAATCTGGTTTATTTGGGATCAGGAGTTTACCACAAGGTTCGATGGGCCAGGATGAAGAAGACAATGCTGTTGGCTCTTGCGTTTCAGCTGTCCCAAGCTAAGTAAACCAATCGGGCAAGGCCAAATCTGTAGGTTCTTGGACTGTAAAAAAGTAATTAAAAAACAGAAGATGAAGTTAGACGGGTCTTACCATCCAACCTTTTCCCTTGTGCGGTAAGAGCATGTTTGAATAGGAGATTATTTGAAAAATTTATTTAAAATACTACTGAAAATGTAAATGTGATGTATGTAATATCAAAAAATAATTAAAAATATAAAATAAATAAAGTGTGTTTATAATAATGTTGCAAGCAATGTCCACTTCCTAATTAACAATACGCTTTTCTTAATGGTGCATTTTTTGCCATCAGATTTTGATCTTTCAGTCTTGGGTCTCGCTGGTCGCCTCAAATATCAAACTGCCATCCCAAAGGGAGTTCGGTTTTAGTTGCCAACTTGCCATAGCTGATAGCTCTTTTGTTTTTGGATTTTTTTTTTCTTTTTTTGGTGGCTGAAGAATAAAGAGTATTATTTGATTCAAAGTTTTTTTTTTTCTTCCCTTTTTGAAAAAGGATGAGAAATTGAATAACTTCTGAGATATTTATCCAAAAGCAGAGAAGAAAACGTGCAAGCAAAAAAAAAAAAAATCACAAAATCTAAAGCTTGGATGAGATTTTCAGGTTGATCAAGTCTCTAATGCATCGATACAACTGGCACACACGTTTGTGGTCATGCAACAAACTCAAATAGCACCGGCACTTGATCATCCCACCTTCAAACTGGTCTGAAAGAAAGGGAAAAAATTTTATTAAAAAGATATCATACATTGCTGGAAATGGCATGAAAAGAAAACTCAACTTTACATATCTAACCGGTTATGACTAGCACATGACTTCATGTGAAATTAGTTGCTCATGAATCTGCCTGAACTTCTCTTTAAGTCGTTTTATCTGCAAATCATTATATGGTTTTTGAGAAAACAAGAGATGGCACAATCAAGAGAGACGAAGCAATGAAGGCAATGCATATGTATATATACCCGTCTAAGCTCAATTTCTACTTCACGCCTCTGCTGTCCCAGAGAATGGCGCAGATTGGTGATGTCGAAAACATTATCCAGATCATCTTGGAAAGCAGATTCTAGGTCTTCCCGAAGGAGTGCGGGTAATTTGTCCACAACCGGCATGAGGAGGAAACAGTTAAACTGCAGAAAAGAAGCCAGAGCCGATGATAGGGAAAATCTCCAACAATATTCTGAGAGAATATCAGAAAACGCTCAACTGAAATGACTAAAAATTTTTTCAGCGCGAAAAGAAAGTGAAAGAAGAAATTCAAGGAAGCAGGAAGCAACAGAACAAATGCTGAAGAATATCAAAAAGACAAACATAATCAGTATCAATAAACAAGACTCTCCTCTCTCTGTCTCCAGTGTGCAATAAAGAGAATTACTAATGTAAGAGCAAACCTTCAGCTCAACAGATGCCAAAAAGTACTCTCTTATCCCATGGAAAATCTGTTGAACCAATGCATAGACAATCCTTTCGGAAGAAGGAGCAAGCCTCCTGTTCCAAAGTGTGCTATCCAAAAGGTCAGCCAATCTTGTCTCTGTTGCCTGAACACTCCCACTTGAATCATTCCCTGAAGCCAAATGACCGAGCTTCACGTCTGGCCTTGGCTTACTGTCCTGCTTATCACTGGCCATAGACAGAGATGACAATTCTTGGGAAAGACTGGCAGCTACTGAGTTACCACCCGTGGCAGACTGTTCTGATCCACCAAATGAGTCTAAGAACTGACGTAGTCCAGCACGATTCTGGAAGCATAATGTAGGACAGGCATAAAGAAAAGAAAACATACAGAAAGTAATGGATATATTGTTCATATAGCCTCTGCAAGGAGGGAGTATCAGATTACAGATCTCTGTTTAGTCGCATGCTTAGAATATATCCATCTAAGCTGATAAAGTTTGAACGATGTTGCCACCAAGATGAACAAAGTTCTCATTGTGAGGTACAGCCTCACAGCTTTTGATTGTCTTACATTTCATGAAAACAACACTATTTACATCATACCAAATCAAATATGTCACTCCACAATCTATTCTAGATATACAGTAAATGTTTTAGCTCAGCATGATATAAAGGTTCAACAACCAAAGGAAAACATTTCGAAGCCTTCATCCTCTTCCCGAAAAATCTTTAAAATTTTAAGTATAATCTTTGTAAAAGCAATAATTACACTGTGATTTCTAAAGACCAAAATCAAATAATGAAGTTTCTCTTGATCATATTTTTCTTTCATGTACAAACACACCAGACAGAGTTACATAAGACAAGTGCGATTTTCAAAGACCAAAACCAAAGAAAAAAATTTCATTTGACCATGTTTCTCAGCAAAATGGCATACAAGCAAAAAATAAAACATATCCCAAGCCCCCTCCATCAGAAATCCAACCCAAAATAACAAGGAGCTAAAGAACTCATGTCTAACTATAGCCCACGAAGACATTACAAATGTTGATTCAATTCAGTTCTTCAAATTCATGGGATAAAGACACGGTTCACTGAGACAATTAGTTCACTGTCAGCAGACTTTGCAAATGAATAATCACTTACTGGAAGAGACTAAAATTGTAACTGATACTGCATTCGGCTAAAAGGGTGCAGAGAGACTTGTTTGAAATTCTAAAGGAAAAAGAATTTGTAGCTCTATTAGGTAAAATGTCAAACCTTATTGTGGAGGGACCACGTTACGTAGCGAGTAGTGCTGACTAAGTCCTCCATGCATCTGAAAATATTTAAGGACCAACAGAATCATTTGAACAGCTCATGTATTTCAAACCCCCTAATAAACAAGAATGTAAGCAGGAACATGCACTAAAATAATTTTTTATAAAAATAAAAGAGAGAGAGAGAGAGAGAGAGAGACAAAATTCTATGAATAGTTTTACCAAAAGTGAAGTTCTAGAAATTCTGAGCAACAATTAGTCAGAAGGTTTTAATATGAAAAAAATGACAAATTAATATGGCAAAGTAAGTATTTATAAAATTGATGAAGATTTTAAGAGCTAAAAGAACAAGAGGTGCAGTTAAAGAGAATGCAGAAGCTACTTAACAGGCTAAAAAAAGGTCATCAATTTTCCACTGTGACTTCAGAATTCAAGATCTATTTCAAAAGGAAGTGCAAAACTTTATTGTCTGTTCAATTCAAGAGAAAACAAGTTGGATTGGAAGCCTGCAAGTATGACAAATACAAGGTATTGAATATATGCAGTCCAAAATTCTCGGCATAGTGTCCAAAAAGGCTATGTTGAGCACAAGTAGTCATAAGTTTCACTTAGCAGGGCTGACAATTCTATCAGAAACCGTATACAAGATATTTTTATTAATCTATGAAATACCTTATTTAGAACAACAGGGCTCCACAAAACTGGAGCCAAAAACACCACGTCATATGGCATGAAAGAGAAGAACAAAGAAGCAATTTTGCTTTAGAAACAATAAACCAAAGAACTTGACAAAGAGGAGTTGAAACAAACGACATTACTTTTCACGGCATGATCTTTCAGTGGATTCTCCAAAGTTGTTGAAGGCAGAGGCAACCCGTCTGAGAAATACTTCATGGCCACTTAGATATTCACCATCTTTCTGTTAAAAACATTCAGAGTATAATTATACCCATCAGAGGAGGAATTGATCATAAAGAAAATGGATGTAACCAAATTACTAAAGACTATACCTCACCTGAAGAAGATGAACAGAGATGGGAAGCAATCTCTTCAGAATGTGCAACAGCCTGTTTCCCAACTATAAGTGGAAAAGAACACTTAGTTTGACAAAACGTATTTAGAATAAAAAAGAAAGTAGAAGAAAATGAACAGAAAATCCACATGAAAACAACTTTTTACTGAAATTTGTCATATTTAACATTGTAGGAAATATCAATGGAGGATAACTTTAAGCACTTGGGTCTGTTCTCTTTCTCTCTATCCTTACTCCTCCCCTTCTCTCCATCCCTGTCTTTTAACAAATTTTGCATTGTGAAATCCAACCAACATGATCAATTAATTCTTTATGTCCTCATAGTCTCACATTCACTAATCTGCCCAATAGCATCATATGCTTATATACATTAGGACTAGGAGTCCAATATTTGTGGATTTTCAGAAGTTCTCCTCATTTAACACCATCTTTTATCTCAATCTATTTAACTAACACAAACGTGTTCCAATTCTCAAAATATTTCTTTAGCAAGAACAGAATCATGACCAGATCAATTTTCCTTAAAACATAGTTAAGACAAGAAAAGAAAGGTACTCAAATCACCTGATGAAGAAAAGGCTCAAATGTATCACGAGCTTTTGCAACAGCAATGACACAAGCTGTCCTAAATTGTGAAAGGGAGAGAAGAACAACTAAACTTCAACAGGATACATGAAAGCAACACTGAAGATGAAGTAGAATCAGAAATCCAAGTCTAACTCAGAATTGATGGGTACCTAGAGTAGTTTGTCCCATCATGAATGTCTTCAACTCCACATGCATTTACAATTTCTTCACGTGTAATTGGAGGACATTTGGTTCCACCAACAACAAAACGAAATTCAGCCATTGCACGATGATACTGAGCACCTCCATAAAGACGCATTCCAGCATTCTATGCAAACAGAGATACTTGCTGATGAGCTTAATGGAGGGGTTCCCCCTAGACTAGAATCAAAATGTGCTGGATAATAATTTAATTCATCTGAATGACAAGCCAGAAGAAAGGTGAAGGAAACTTTTACTGTGAAAAGGAATAAAGCTGTGTGACGTAATATATCTACATGTAATTGACAAAAATTTCAGTTTAAATGCAGGTTTAGACATAATGCTTGGCAATCTTAAAATGTTTGATCTAGTTTATGTAGAAGATGCAAGTTTGGAATAACAGCCTTGAGCATTCAGCATGTATCAACACTTCCACAAAACAGAAAAGCAAGGGCGTCAAGTACTTCAAGTCAAAGAGGAACGCATAGCAAGGTACGACCAAACTTACAGGTATCAGCTTGTGTGGAAACTGAAGACCATCACTTCCAACAAATGCTCCTCCATTGACCCTCTCGTCTTGTAGAGTTTCCCCTACACACAAGACCAGAAGTGCATAATTATAGTCAGAATTTGGTTTGAGCAATCAATTTTCAGGTAAAGCATTTAGTTTTAGAATTACATAGGTGAATCAACACGTGTAATGTGAAACTCTAAAACATACATCACACCACTAAAACAGTCTCCTCGCACATACACATAGAGAAAGTGTAAATTTAAACTCCAAATAACCCATAAACTATATGCAGACAATGTTGTATGATAGAAACATCAAGATGGTTACCAAATTTATCAGGTGGAGCAATGACAGTTCCTTTCAACAGCAGCGACAACTGTATATGAAATGAGAATCCATCAGAATACTAAAGAACAAAATGGTACTTCAGCATTTAAGCACAAATACCTCGAAAAAGAAAGATAAAAAACATCCATTAGACCATTGAATTCACATATGTGATAACAACTCTGGAATGCACTCGTATACAGGATGAGCTTAATAATAACTAGAATTCATGCCAAAAACATTGACTGGATTTTAGGATCATTAACATATATGCCAAGGACGTGGCAGAATTAACCTTGGTAAGGAACAGGTCATGGAAAGCTCTTCCTTTCTCCTTCAGTTTTACTTCATCCAAAGTGCTGTTAGAAATTTCAAACAAATTATTGTTGGAAAATGGTAGAAAGTCCATTCTATGTCCATTAGTGATGTGGGTGAAGTGGTCAAAAAAATTTTAAAAAAAAAGGGTTCTCACTTCATTTATTCACCTCAAATTTCATCTCACCCACTCAGATATCATTTGGAGATAAGCTACAAACCTTAGCTCTTGATTTATGTCAGTCAGCTTCCTTGTGCTGCTCCTATGTTCTTTTTCAAGAAGTGGGATGATTAATGGTACACTGTCCATGTACCTTGCAATCCATAAATCTCAAACTCTCAGTTACAGCATGCAAAGATCAGTGATAGGATCATTTCTTTCTTTGATAAATGACTCATTAATGAAACTGTGGAAAAATTTTACCTTTTCTGCAATAGCTCTTCTAAGAACAGCCTAAGGCTGCTGACACCTATTCTGCTCCTTTCCTGTTTTGTGAGTGATCTACCCAACTTCTCCTCCAATGCTGCTACATCCTCCATTTCTCTCAAGGAAATAGCCTACATAGACAACATAAATGAGAAAGTATTTAAAAGTTTGTAACCTCTGCTTGCGAGCAATCAAGTCGGACAAGAAAAGGCTTATATTCTTCAACCATCATACAGTTCAAGTAGTGAGGATTGACCAAAGAAAATGCCAACCTAGTTTTGAAGGTAGACAAATAATTTGAGACCAAAAAAGTATGATCATTCTTATCAAAATCATAGGCCATACAACTTTTATGACTCTGGCTAACATGTAATATCACCCCAATGACCACACAGTAAAGAAAGACCGATACTGGTTAATAGCAGACAAAAGGAGAAGAGCTATCTGTCTGTGCAACAATTGTATGACATGAATAGACTTAGACAGGCATCTACCAGCTGTCATCATCAATAAAAACACTCATAAAAGCTAATGCAGATTGGTAAATACAGTTCAAATACGGGAAGACAAACCTGTTTAAACTCATCATTTGATCGATAAACTGATTCATGCCCCAAACCTACTCTTCCAGAAGGGACAGATGTGAAGAAAGGGGAGTCACCTAGCATGAACCCATCAAGAGTAGATGCAGGTGGCGAAAGAAATACTTCAACATCTGATGATCGTGCAAACTGAGGTATTTTAGTATCGAGCTTCGTTGCAACAACAACAGTTCTTGAAAGCTCGGGATCAATCTAGATATTGAGAGAGGCATGGAAAGAGATTCAGCCAAGATTTCAATTAACAGACAAGACTATCAAAGAATCATTTTGCCATTAAATTTGTGGTTTCCTGAGATAAATCTAGTACTACACAAGTATATACCTGCATTACCACTCTTCTAGTAGTTGCATTGCTCCAATCATTGCAATCTTCAAGGCATAGAATAATAAACTCCTTGTGCTGCATCTTAGCTCGCACTAGAGATTCCACTGCACGAGCTTGAGCCTGTTGTGTACACAAAATCAACTTTTATCACCGCCATTAATGAAACACGAAAAAGATATGAAGTTTCTAAGAAGACTGGACCTGTAAAGCTCTGTTTTTCCGACCTGGGGCTGGAGCAACAAGTCCTGGAGTGTCTATAATGCTGAGGTTCGGACAATACTTATATTCTACTCTGATGATTATTTCTTTAGAAGAAAACTGACAGGGTTCCTTCTCCAACCTCATGTTTTCAGCTTCAATATATGCCTAGAATCATACAGAGGTTAAAATATTCTAAAAAAATGCCTCAGTTATAGGAAAACTGTTCACTTCAGATGATAAAGTGTATCCAACTTATTTCCAAATGAATGTGGGAAGCATAATTAAATATTGATGGTAAATACAAATTAAGTTCACTTTTTGGTGTTAGATTTAGCCTTTGGCAGCGCATATGATACTGTATCATTTACTGGAAGGTACGGCTCAACCATGTATTAACCAGTTGAATTCACTTAAAAGGTAACATAGCAGGAAACTTTTGAAAACACAATTGGCAACTGCTATATTCCGAAATCAAAGGCACGGCTAACCTACCTTGAACTGTTTGTGAACGTAAAGGATTCCAAATTCAATAATTCCTAGTCAATACAGTAACACTGATCGGGTTTATATATATATAGACAATCAAGGCAATATCATCAATCCTCCAATTAATTGAATCCACCTCATTCAACAGCCGTTTGTTTGTTTGGTTTATTGGCATTCACGCTAAAACAGCATTTTATTGAAAAAATGCCAATCTTGAAGCTCGCAAGTGACGATAACTAACTGGAAAAACGCAACGTCACCAAAAAGGTATTCAAGTTTTTTAAAGTAAGTAAACAATGCTATGCAAACATTTAGTAGTCTCTTTCTTTTAAACTACCTGAATTTCTTGAAGTGACAACTGTTGGTCAATGCTGGGGTCAGAATCAGAGAGCAGATGACAGAGAGGTGAGTCACAGTCGGGATTATACTTCATATGGAGAGTAATGGGCCGGCGAGTCTTGGTACCGCCACCGACGTGGTTGAACTGGAAACCCATGAGAGCTTCCACGAGTGCGCTTTTGCCGTCAGTTTGGTGACCCACAACCAGCACAGCTGGGGCGTCGAACGGCGTCTCGAACTCCTGCGCTAAACCATGTAGCTCATTGTAGGCCTCATATAGCTTAGCTTGCCCTTCTCCCAACTCACAACCGGCAGTTGCCGGCGGCGATGCTGATAATGTTGGGTCATGCTCTTTCTCCATTTTCCCAAAGATTGTCCAGCAGAGGAGGCAGCGGGTGAGTACGGTGGATGAGTGCGTGAATGTGTGTTTTTATCAATTCACCGGTTTAAGTGACGGAGGTTACTCCGGTTAGTATTAGAGTAGAATTTTTTTTTTTTTCCAGTTTGAATTTTGAAGGTCGGATTCGAAAACTGGGCTCGGGACTCTTGGGTTTTAGTTTGGGGTAAGAATTCATTAATGGCCCAGAGAATTTTTAGCCACTCGTTTTATTAATATTATTATTATTACTACTACTAGTTAAATAGATCGGATGATCCGCGTGGAGCAGGCCAACAGTGCGTGGATCAAAAACATAATTGAATAATTACGGTGTTGATCTCTTGTGTTTTTTTTTTTTTTTTTGTCGACTAGGGGTATCCCCCAGGCTGGAAGAGCCCGCCCCAAGGATTCCAGCGCGGTATGGGGAGAGAGTCGAACACGGGACCTTGCTCCTGAAGAGGAGGCTACTGGACCGGTCGCACTAACCCCCGGAGGCTTGATCTCTTGTGTTTGACATATCAAGTTATACACCAACCCTTATCAATCATAACTAACTATTATCATGCATGACTAACTAATTTAGTCCCTTCTTATTATAACAATGGATAATTTCAAAAACCTCCCTAGAGGTTTTTGACTATATTGCTTAGCACTTTTGAAATTTAAAAAATATCACTTGCATTTCTTATTTTCAAAGTTTTGTGACATTCCCAAATCAAAATGTATCATTAAAAAACTAGTTTTGAGAGTATCAAGATAACTTCATTCTAAAGTTGGTCCTTTGTTGTGACCTCTTACTTGTTATAACAAACTAATTTAAAATCTCTTAACATTTGAGAACTTGAATAATGCGCTTCTTTAATAGAAAATGATAAGTTGTTAACAGGATTGAGAGATCCGTTAATGGATTTTATTTTATAACGTGGATAAAAATGTTAAAATTTTACAACTTCTAATAATTTACAAAACATGTTAAAAATAGCAGAAAAAACTATAAAGACGAAGAAAATAATTTTTTTGGCATCTTGACAACATCTTAAATAAGTGTTAAATACAATTTTAAATTTTCATTTTTCTAATTTTCAAGCTATCTATCCAAACAAAAAAATTAAAAAAAATTACAATCAATTTATAAAATTCTTTAAATTCACTCAAAACATTATATGTAAAAAAATTTATTTTATTTGGTATCTTAAGGGCAATGATAAGCACATCCAAAAAATAAAGGTGGACCTAGTGTTAAAGTTTTAAAATCACAACTGACCTTTTAAATTACAAAACTTTTTTGCGGAAGAAATCTACCGTTTTTGCCAAGGAAAAATAAAAATAAAATAACATCTATCCTATTTTCTAATTTTACTTGATTTTAGAGCACAAAATAGATAAATCCTAATGAAAACAAATTTATAGTTTGAAAATACCTTAAAAAAGCTTTTAGTATATATTTGTACTTTAAAAAAGCATGCTACTTTTGGTTCTGACTGCTATATTTTGTCCTACATTACGTCTTCATGCTTTTTATCTTTGTTTTTAATTTTTTATTAATATAATTATAATTTTGTAAAATAGTAAGGCAACAAAAGGGTAATGTTAGAAAGAAATTATTTTTTTCTTTCCTAAAATGAGTATTGTACTAATATATTTTGAATTTAGCTTCAGATATCACAAACATTTGATAATAAGAGAGCCAAGTGATTTTTTTTTTAAACTTTAGGAGGTGCTAAGTGCTATTATCAAAAACTTTGAGGAGGTTTTTAAAATTATCTCTTATAACAAAATATAGCTAATATATGACGCTTAGCGTAACCTAGCCAACCATACCACATGCACCATTGAAAAAAAAAAATCATCAAATAACGATACAAAATGGTCCCTCACGTAATAACAAACATACAATTTTGGTCGATAGCTCATTCGGGCCAAATTTTGTGCCAAAACTTGTTAGTACCAAAAACACCCCCAAAAATCACTAAAGTAGGTGTGGAGATCAAAATAGTACATTTTATACATGTGAGGAACCATATTGTATAGTTTTTAATATAAGAAACTAATAAGGAAAATTTCCGAAATCTAAGGAAACATAGTGCACGGTCACGAGATCTGTTAGGTTTGAAATTTTGCATTAAAAGTTATGTAGTAGCTGAATTTTATTAAGATTGGGGATTGAATTGATTAGTTGTGGCAAATAGGGAACTACATTAAACGAAATGTCAAAGATTAGGAACCGAAATAATTGACATCGTGAATCCTTGAAAAACTGAAACTGTATGAACAGTTTGGGATAGAAAGCAACATTTGGCTTTTAAAAAAAAAAAAAAAAGAAAGCAACAATTGGCTCATCCATAGGCGGTCAACAGTCCGGGTTTGGACCCGGACCCGAACCGGACCCGTCAACATTTCCCGGGTACGGATAGGTATATTGATCCGCGATTCGGACCCATTTTATCTAACAAATTTATGAGTCGAATACGAAATATACCGTTCCGACCCGTATTCGACTCGAACCCGTTTTAATTAATTAATAATTAAAAAATATATACTAATCTATCATAATTTTTCATATCAATACTACATTTCTACTTCTTTCATTCCCAAAATTTTCCAACCCTAATACCCACCGCCGCACATCTCTTTTTCCCCTCACTCTCTTTTCTCTTTTGTTTTTTGCTTACCAGCTGTGGATGGTAATTGGTTGGACTTGCTAGGGATTTCACCATACTTTGTAGCAGTGTCATTTGAGATGCTTGTTAGGTCTTTCACGGCTAATCTCCTCCATTATGTTTAAAATAGGCTTCGGCAGTAAAGTGATAGTTGCGAGTTTCTTCGTCTCTTCAATTTCAGATTTTGCAATTTCATCCTGTTGAAGTTTTAATGTGCTGGATGTAGAATATCGAGGTAAAATCAACAGAAAGAACTCAACTTAATCGTGCAAAAATTTAACTAGTCAATTGGAAAGGGAAAGGTATTGATCAGGCACCAAATGATGCAATGAACTGACTGGCACATCTTTCTCTCGAAGAACTAATTGGCAATTTTGTGTTTTCATCCCAAGGAGTTTTTTTCATAGCATTTCCATCTCTCTCTCTCTCTCTGTGGAATGCGAGGCCGAGTTACGTTGTTTTTTTGCATGCGGTGTGTTGAAGTCAGGTGCTGAAGTTGTAGTAAAAACAGGTTTTTGATGGGCCTTTTTTCCGGATAGGCCGGTCCCGGATCCGGGACCCGTCGGGTGCGGGTCTGGTAGAAAGATTAGGAGACTCGTCGGGTATTTGAGTCGAGTCCGGAACTAATACAGTATGACGGGTTCGGGTCCCGATTTATTAATTTGGACTCGGACCCCGGCCCGTTGACAGGCCTACTCATCCGCGAGGGACGGCCGCAAAAGCCGGCCAGGGGCAACTATTTGGGAGAAGGGCAAGGATGCTTCTAGGGGTGGGCAAAATATCCGATCCGATCCGAAAAATAGGATATCCAATCCGATTTTCTTAGCGGGGCAGATGCGGATCAGGTACCCGTAAAAACGGATACGGATACGGATACGGATCAGTAAAATAAAAACTCGCGGGTACCCGACCCGCAGGGTATATTATATAAATATTAAAAAAATAAGGGTTCATCATATAATTTTTATAATTTTTAATCCTAAGTGTAAGTAAAGTGGTTCACAACCTCATATTCTAATCTCATATGATCCACCTCTCCTCATATTGTCTTAAAAAAACGAATATTCTTGGTGAAACCTGAACTAAAATGAACAAAACAAAGAAAAATTATTGAAACTCTATCATAAAAATTGTCCATCATTTTCATCCTTTTTCATTTTTATTCTACTTCCATCGATCTTTCTTGCAATTTTTTCATCAATTTAATCAAAAATTTGTGTTTGGAGCTCCAATTTTCTATTAGCTAGATAATTAAAACATTTGTGTCTTTCATTTATTTATTTGTTTTATTGCAATTGTGTCTCTTAAATTTGTCTCCTTTATTTTAGTGCAAGAAATTTATTTTTCTTTTTCATCACCTTTAATGCAATAAGGTTTATTCCAAAGATGTAAGAAAGTTGGTGAAAATTTTTCAAGATTATTTTGATTATACTTCAAAAATTATTAGCTCTGTTCAATTCTTTTCCGGATTTGATTCCACAATCGACTCATTTTGGATGCAGTCTTGTACCATAACATCCTTAAGGAAGTTGGAAAAGTTGCCAAATACTTATTATCCTTGTGTTTGTTATGTTATAAAAGGATGAAATGCGTGAGAATTGTGATGTACTCAAAATTATCATAAAATTTTATTTTATCTATTAGATATTATAATTCTAATATGTACTAAATTTATGAGATCGGTTTGATTATTGGATGAAATGTGTGAGAATGATGACGTATGGATTTTGATTATAATATCTCTACCAATGTTAATTAGAAAGCATTTTTTTATTGAAAAATATGTTGATATCAAGTGAAAAATATTTTTTATTGGATTTTTTTTTTAGGAGCGGGTACCCTATGACCCGCCCCTTTTTTTCGGGTATCCGAATAGCGGGTACCCGAAAATATTAGGAGCGGGTTAGAGTCGCAAAATGGCTAATCTGATTTTTTAGGGTCGGGTCAGCCAAAACTTATTAGGGGCGGGTACCCGACCCGTGCCCACCCCTAGATGCTTCCTTCCTAATCGTGGCGGATAACGATTTTAATATTCTTGTGAGAAATGTTAACAAAGTATTAAGTAGGCTAGCTTGTAAGACTTGATAGTCATTGTTTGGATTGAGAATTTTTGTTAAAAATTTTTTTTTTTTGCATTATAAATACGTTTCTTAACCACCTTTTTATATCTCAAAAATAAGTTCTATAATATTTTTTTTATTTTTTAAAAATAATCTTCAATCTAAACAGACTTTAACTAACAATTTTGCACCCCAAATCCCAATCATTTGGGTTGGGCCCATGATCTATTCATTTTGTCTCCCTTAGGGGTTAAAAACCATGAGGTTAGTAAAATTACAAATTTGACTAACAAAATTTCAAACCCCTTATTGATCGTATTCATTGGCGAATTATAGCCTAGGCCTGCGACCCAAAAAAAAAAAATTTAATTTGCACAATTTATTTACCAATTTTCTTGCAGAAGAGTGAATAACTTCGGAATACACGGTCTTACTATATA